TCTGTCTGTCTCGCTCAGTGAATAACGAGATAATTTCCTTCATATCCATTTCAGTTTGTTCTTTCAGTCAACCTGTCTGCTTATTCCCATCTATCTATTTATCTATCTGTATATATATATATATATATATATATACTATATTCTATCTATCTATCTATCTATCTATCTATCTATCTATCTATCAGTCCGTTTCTATCTATCTATCCATCTATCTATCTGTCTATCTATCTATCAGTCTGTTAACAGCTATCTTGGCATAGTTTTATCTCTCTCTCTCTCTCTCTCTCTCTCTCTATCTATCTATATATATATATATATATATATATATATATATGCATATATATATACCTGTATATGTTCATACATCTGTATAGCTGTATATAATAACACAAGCATAAAAATATAAGCAAACACATAGATAGATAGATAGATAGATAGATAGATAGATAGATAGATAGATAGAAGCTTATCTGAAAAGGAATTACATTAGTCATCCGCTATTATCCAAAGCCTTAAATCTCTTCAATCTTTCCTTTGGTGTCAACACTTAGAGGCAACAGTCTGTTTCAAGCTTGATGCAATCGTCAGGACACATTACTTTCCGGGTCCCAACCAGAGATATAAGATCAGAAATGATTTAATGATATTTTCTATTGCTCATCTTTTGCAAAATCACACATATTTTACATAAAGAAAGATCTTCAAGCGATTCTCTGTATATTATGCATGTTATATTTCGTACATAATTTTTCCCCAAGGATTTCTCTGTCGAGGCATCGAGTCTAACCAACCCAATGCCATCGTCTGCAACTCTTGATCTTTGGATCTTTCTTAAGATGACTTACCAGTTTATTTAAAGGGTTTGAACATCTGTAAGCGAAGAGGCTTTATTTATTTATTTATCTGAGAAGTGGACATCGTTATTATTATTATTATTATTATTATTATTATAATTATCATATGAGAATTTTGTTTCCGTTAGAAAATTTGATAATGGTGTATAAACAGAACAACAACAAAAAAGAGAAACATATTTAAAAGCATAATTGTTAATTTTCAAAAACAAAATGACCTTTCTCGCCTTCCGTACACAATGGCAATCTCCATTTTCCCTCTAATTTCAGCTGCATATTTTAAATATATAGTCGGATCCCAAAGTAGGCATACATTGATGAAAAAACAATATATATTTATATATATATATATATACTCAAATAGATAAATGTAAATAAATGTACACGTAAATGCACAAATATATATATATATATATATATATATATATATATATATACACCCTTTGGCAAATGAAAACAGTTCTCCATTTTAAAGAACAGAGCTATCAACTGTGTATATATATATATATATATATATATATATATATATATACCCCACGATTACAGTACCACTCAGAATTTCATGGTTTATGCAATCATCAGGTACTAATTCAAAATTAGTACCTGATGATTGCATAGAGCATGAAACTCCGAATTGTACTTTCGGCATGGGGTATATATAGATATAAGTGAACATTGAAGTCAAGGCCTGATGATATTGTTTAGCATGAAACCGTCTGTCACCTCTGAGTGTTGACGTCAATGTTCACTTTTCTATTTATGCCGTAAAACAAAATAAACGAAACCAATCTAAACCAAAGAATACATATTCTATTCATACGAATCTATCCTAAAAATGTTGTCGGCATTAAATAACCCATTGAGGTTGATATGCCGTAAAACAAAATAAACCAAACCAATCTAAACCAAAGAATACATATTCTATTCATACGAATCTATCCTAAAAATGTTGTCGGCATTAAATAACCCATTGAGGTTGATATGCCGTAAAACAAAATAAACCAAACCAATCTAAACCAAAGAATGCATATCCTATTCATACGAATCTATCCTAAAAATGTTGTCGGCATTAAATAACCCATTGAGGTTGATAGGCCGTAAAAACAAAAAACAAAAAATAAGCCAAACCAATCTAAACCAAAGAATACATATTCTATTCCAAACGAATCTATCCTACAAATGTTGTCGTCATTGAATAACCCATTGAGATTGATATGCCGTAAAATAAAATAAGCCAAACCAATCTAAACCAAAGAATACATATTCTATTCATACGAATCTATCCTAAACATGTTGTCGGCATTAAATAACCCATTGAGGTTGATATGCCGTAAACCAAAGAATACATATTCTATTCATACGAAATCCAAAATGTTGTCGGCATTAAACCAAACCAATCTAAACCTAAAAAGAATACATATTCTATTCATACGAATCTATCTAAAAAATGTTGTCGGCATTAAATAACCCCATTGAGGTTGATATGCCGTAAAACAAAATAAACCAAACCAATCTAAACCAAAGAATACATATTCTATTCATACGAATCTATCCTAAAAATGTTGTCGGCATTAAATAACCCATTGAGGTTGATATGCCGTAAAACAAAATAAACCAAACCAATCTAAACCAAAGAATACATATTCTATTCCTACGAATCTATCCTAAAAATGTTGTCGGCATTAAATAACCCATTGAGGTTGATATGCACCGTAAAACAAAACAAGCGAAACTAAACCAGTCTATGTTACATTACTATTGGCATCTGGCTGTATCAATCGTTGAAATACTGGTTCACGTACGATCCTCGGAAATAGGTAATTGCTTGGTACTGCCAGATGGCGTAAGCTTGGATATGCTGTTGGTGTAAGTGTTAACGGCTCACAATTGGAAATCGGAGAGCCGAGTTCCAGTCCCAATTCGAGTCGGAAACGCTATATTCACTTATCTTGGTAAAAGTATGAATACACCTCTTGTCCCCCAGTTATGGGTTAATTAGTCATTTTTTAAGCATTTCGCCTTAAGCAAGACGGGAGTGCTACTAGCACGCAAGGGGTTGCAGAGCGTGAGAGCAGAGGTAGAGAGGGTGTTTGAGGAAAGGATATAGAGAAGTACGTGGATCAGAATGAGGGCATTAGAAGATGTCGATTGACATTACATTTGAATATTTGAAGATTATATCTATCAGGAAAGCGAGTAGAATGAAAGGAGTTCCACTGGTGAGAAGTGCGAGAGAGGAAGCTGTTGGAGTAGAAGAGGCGGTTACCTTTAACTGTTTCGTGGTAATGAATAATAATACTGATAGTGATGGATTGATATATCTATGATTACTTTAAGTTTCAAGATTATTTTGTTAAGCTTTCCACACTAGGCAAGGCAGGAGTGTCACTAGCACCCAAGGAATTACAGTGAGTGAGAGCAAGAGTAAAGAGGGGTGTTTGAGGAAAGGATAAAGAGAAGGACGGTGTTCAAGATCATGGCATCAGAACATGTCGATTGACATTACATTTGGATACGTGAAGATTATATCAGGGAAGCAAGTAAGAGGAAGGGAGTTCCACTGTCGGGAAGTCTGAGAGAAGAAGCTGTTAGAATAGAAGAGGCGGTTACATTTAACCCTTTCGACAGTGAAAGGGTGGGATCGAGATACCAACCTAGTAGCACGCTTAAATTGTACCAGTAAATACTTATTATTTAAAAAAAAATCCTACAATCTGAAAATATTTCATGACCTTAAATAACCTGTAAAAGGTTGATAGCCTGTAAAAAAAATATCAATCAATGATTATCATTAATATTTAATGTCCTCTCCAACTCTTTGAAAGTTTCGGTCGTATGTTGAGCTGTTCCTAGCAATGCCATCCTCTCGTTTTTAAGTCCGATACTTTGCACAAGAGGGCAGAATTTTGTGTTCCAGATCAGCACAAATACCGTTTTTTTTTCTTGAAAAGTTCATAATGTTCTATTAACCTAACTTTTAAACAGAAAAAGCAATGTCTAGTTAAACCGATACTATATTTCTCGCTTCTTAAAAGTGGTCTGTGTTTGATCCCAGATAACAAAAGCTAACCTCAGATGTCAATGTTACAGTTTTTTGTGTATACATGCACGTAACTAGTAAGTTAGTCAAAATGACTTAATTCCCTTTATAGTCTACCAATAAAAGATTAACCAATCAGAAGCCGCAGAACATTGCATCCGTCGTGTATAAGGGCGGCCATCTTTGTTTTTCCTACCGGAATGACCACTGCCAACTTGTCAGGCGAAGATGAATAAGGAAGAACTACGCTCTGCTACTTTGCTGCGATATCCACTGCGAACCTGAACTACGCTTTCCTACTGTCTCCGAAATATTCACTGCTAACCTCTGGATTCTATACTCGAAGACGACCGTCAAAATGTCTAACAGTCAAGTGGATATATATTAGGCCTGACGATTGCGTCCAGCATAAAACAGACTGTCGACTCTAAGTTTTCCCTTCAATGTTCACTTTTACATTTATACACGCTCTATCTCTGATATTGAGCACTTTATCCCATAAATCCTATATATATATATATATATATATATATATATATATATATATATATATATATATATACCGTCGAAACAGTTAAAGGTAACCGCCTCTCTGTATATATAGTCTTAAAGCGTGCTATATTTATGGGATAAAGTGCTTAATATCAGAGATAGAGCGTGTAAAATAAAAAGTGAACATTGAGTCAACACTTAGAAGCGACAGGCTGTTTCTGTTAGACACCAATCGTCAGGCGGCCTGACGATTACATCTAGCATAAAACAGACAGTCGCCTCTAAGTGTTCACTTCAATGTTATATATATATATATATATATATATATATATATATATATATATATGATATAACGATAATTGGTTGATTGATTTGTAGGTTTTTTTAAACTCAGAAAATATTTTTAGATTGTGAGAATCTTTTTCTTGGAGATAATAATGATCTTAATATTACAAATATTACTAATTAACCCATAGCTGCCGGGAGAAGAGGTGGATTCATACCTTTCTTCCGTGAATTTGAGCGTAAGTAAATATAAGGAACCCAGCGGGAATTAGAACTCGGCTCTCCGATTAACAATTTAATTGTGTAATCCACCAGCCGCACATGCGACTTGTATCCCCAAACGATCACCCATTTAGGTACTGACCAGGCTCGACGTTGCTTAACTTCAGTGATCGTACGTGAACCGGTGTTTCAACGTGATTTGGCTGTAAGCCGTATGTCTACTAAGAAAGGGAATGGGAAGATGCTCGCTTCCTTGAAAAGATCCAGAGTCTATCTGAATCCTGCTGCCATGCTATAACTTTACAAGATACATACCCGCCTACAAATGTAGTATTATCTACACGGCTTTGATTTGGTGGATTATCTTCCAGCCGACAACCACTTTCCCACAGACGAAACGGCAGACGTTCCGACAAGTTTTATTCCTTATTTTCACCTGTCCATATGTTAAATAATTAGCAGACTAATATTTTTAGGGGGAATGGTATCTCTGCGCGGAGTGTTTGAGGTTAATCATCGAAGTCAGATGGAAGACAAAAAAAGGAAGTCGATTTTGATCGGCTGAACTAGCGTGGGAATGATAGACTAGTGAGTTGTTTCTTAACCGTCGAACGATGTAGACGTGTTTCCTTTTTTGTGTCTGAAACGGTTCCCCAGTAGAGAAGTAACAACCCCCTCCCTCCGATCACTGGATAGTCAGAAGATGGATACATCGACGTTAATAAAATAGTCAAGTTAAAATTCTCTGTGTTGAAGTTCTTTTATCTCTGGACACAAAACTACTAACGGTGACCTGCCGCGTGAGAAGAATGCTATTTTATTATCGAAATGATGCCGTCGTCCAAGACTACCCCCACTATGGGGCTATGTAACACATACTTTTCCAGTTAAGTCGTTTCAAGTTCATTCCCTTCGCATTTTATTGGTAACTACTTATTACCAGAAACCACTACTTTCTGGGACTACTTATTACCAGAAACCACTATTTTGTCAAACAGCCTCCCGAGTGGAATCTTCCCCGATCGACAAATTTTAATTTCTTAGGCCAACCGTTGTCTACTGTTTTCAATCTCATTCACTGGCCGCTTACGTTGAATCGTTGTTGTTCTTTGTATTGTGTGAATAAAATAAAGATAAAAACGTCGATAAACACTGATTTAGTTAAAATGGAGAGCTCCAAAGTTGCAAGATCAGTTTAACAGCATCTTTGTGATTCTCTCAATGGCCGCGTGATTAATGAACTACTGGCATGAATTGGAACTACCGCAACCCCCGAGCACCCCCTCCCAGGCCCATGGACAGCTTCCTTTTGTCATCGCCACTAGTTCTTCTGCCCCAGTATCCTCTTTTCATTCGGAGAAGAATATAAATTATCCCAAAATTAAAGAAGTAGCAAGAAATTGATCGATATATATATATATATATATATATATATATATATATATATATATGTGTGTGTGTGTGTGTGTATGCGAGCGCGTGTGTGCGTGTCTGTGTGTGTGTGTGTGTGTCTGTCTGTGTGTGTGTGAAGAGAATGAGAAAACTTAAAATTACTAAATATATAAAACCTAAAGAATATATATATATATATATATATATATATATATATATATATATATATATATACAAACATACACATATACACATATATATATATATATATATATATATATATATATGCGTGTGTGTGTGTGTGATCGTGTGTGTGTGCGTGTGTGTTTCTGTGTTTGAGTGTGTTGTGTATTTGTGTGAAACGAATGAGAAAACTTAAAATCACTCAATATATAAAATACCTAAGGAAAATACACACACACACTCACACACACACACACACACATATATATATATATATATGTGTATATATATATATATATATATATATATATATATATATATATATATATATATGTTCGTGTTACATCTGTAATACAGTTGATATACTTAGCGTTGAGGTATACATTTTTCTCCATTTTGTTTCATATATATATATATATATATATATATATATATATATATATATATATATATATATATATATATATATATATATATATATATATATATGTGTATACAAAAGAAAGTGGCAAAAACGGCTAAACGCACTGTAATTATGTATTGTTTACTGCTTTTTTCACCAGATTAACGATTCTAACAAGACTGAGATTAAAATATATTACACTGGAACTAATTAATTTTATGGTGGTGAGTGTTCTAAGCCTTTTGGGGAACTGCTGATCGAAATGTTACAGTGAGCATCAAATATAAGCGACGCCTTACCGACTTGAATCTGTGAGTACTTATTTGGCTAAGCCATTTTCACCCGAAGCCGCCCGTCTCGTGGAGAACAGGAGTTCGACAGGCACACATGCTCATTATTTCAACTGCAAAGACCACCGTTTCCCAATATATGGAGCCCCCTCTGCCATCGTTCATGTCTCGAGATGCCATGAAAAATTATTGTATATCATTATTAATATCTGTCTCTTTCACATTTTTTATCGCTGTTCACGCGGTAAACATTATGGACACCATGTATGCGTCCTGTACACGTGTGTGTTCCTCTAAGATACACGAGTCGGTCACGTACAGGTTCTGTCCACTAACCAG